AGTGCATACTCAAAGGATTTGACTTCGGGAGAAGTTATCACTACTCCTGCCCCCGAACCGTTTTCGGTGGAAGATCCATCCGTAAACACGGTCCAGACTTTCTTTTCACTGTCTAGCGCTTCTTGGTATGAGCATTCGGCCAAGAAATCCGCTAGAGCTTGAGCCTTAATGGCAGCCCTCGGACGGTAGCTGATGCTGAATTCGGTGAGCTCAAAAGCCCACTTGGCTAGCCTACCAGATTTTTCAACCTTGCCGAGAACTTTTTCCAACGGCTGATCAGTTAAGACCACTATCTGATGGCAATCAAAATAGGGCCTCAGCTTCCGAGCAACTACTACTACCGCGAAAGCAACTTTCTCGAGTAGAGGATAGCGAGTCTCGGCATCCGTCAGTGTATGACTGACGAAGTAGATCGGCCACATATAGGTACAAAGTTTCTTCTTCAGCTGGGCTAGCCAGCGTTGGGAGTTGAGCCAGATGCTCCCGAAGCTGTTTAAAGGCGTCTTTTTGCTCTTCCTCCCAAACGAGCTCTTTTGTTTTCGGGAGTTTCAGGGCTTTGAAGAAAGGTAACCCCTTATCCGAAGCTCTGGAAATGAACCTCGAGAGGGCTGCCATTCTTCCGGTGAGCCGCTGAACATCCCGCTTCGTTTTCGGCTCAGGAAGGTCGAGCGCCGCTTTGACTTTAGTGGGATTGACATCAATCCCCCTTTTGCTGACTATGAACCCAAGGAATTTCCCTGACTTCACGCCGAAGACACACTTCTTCGGATTCAGCTTCATTTGATGCTTTCTCAAGGTGGCGAAAGTTTCAGCCAGGTCCTTTACATGGTCCTCTGGTTTTTTGCTTTTGACGATCGAATCGTCAACATAGACTTCCATGTTTCGGCCCTTTTGATCGGCGAAAACTTGATCCACCAACCTTTGATAGGTTGCCCCCGCATTTTTCAATCCGAAGGGCATCATTTTGTAATTGTACACCCCAGCGTTCGTGACGAATGCTGTCTTTGCTCGATCGTCGGGGTGCATAAAGATCTGATGATACCCCGAGAATGCGTCCATGAAACTAAGCAAGGCATGGCCACTTGTCGAATCGACTAGCTGATCGATCCTCGGCAAGGGATAGAAATCCTTTGGACAAGCCTTATTTAGGTCCGTGAAGTCAACGCACATCCTCCAGGTACCATTGGGCTTCTGAACCATCACCACATTTGCCAGCCATTCTGGATATTGGCAAGGTTCGATGAATCCTGCCTCCAACAATTTTTTGACCTCGGCTGCGATGTCTCGGTTCTTATTGGCGGAGTAATTCCGCTTCTTTTGCTTAACTGGTCGACACGTCGGGTCAACATTAAGCTTATGGGAGATGAGGTCTGAACTTATCCCGGGCATATCAGCTGCCGAGAAAGCAAACACATCTCTGTTGTCTCGAAGGAGCTGAATAAGTTCACAACGGGTGTTCGGATCAAGGTCCATCCCGATTGTTACACATTTCTCAACGTCTCCTTCGGCCAACTCAACTGTTTCAGTCTGTTGGTCCATGTCCATTGCTGATGGACTGGACTCTTCATAATCTGGCCTGCTGCCAATGTCAGCAGGTGTCCCAGTCTTTTTGTTCTTCGGCTGGCTCTCTGAGTCTTGCGGCTCAGCTGAAGAGCTAGCATTTTCCCTTTCGGGCCCTTTACCTCTGGGTACAGATCCTTGGGCCGAAGCACTTAGGCCTTTCGGCTTTTTTGTACTCGGCTCTCTTTCTTTTTCTTTCTCCTCCTCATCCTTGTCATCTGGGCGACTATTGGATGGTTTGAGGTAGTTGCACCTTCGGGCGTCCTTTTGGTTGCCCTGTATCCTTTCGGGGAAGCCGGCGTCTGAGACGTAAATCATCAGCTGATGATAAGTTGAGACGACCCCTTGGATCTCGTGAATTATGGGTCTCCCCAAAATCACGTTGTACACTTAAGGAGCGTCGATGACCAAAAATTCAATCATGACTTTCCTGACTGCCTCATCGCAACCGATGGTGACAGGAAGTGTCACCTTCCCATCTGGATAAGTTGAAGCCCCATTGAACCCGGATACCGGGTAGGGTACCGGCGTAAGGTGCTTGGGCTTCAGCTTGATTTGATTGTAGGCCTTTCGGAACAGAATGTTTGCTCCACTGCCACCGTCAACAAGGACCTTACTGACGTCGTGGTTGGCCACCGTGGCGATGATCACCAACGGATCCTCGTGAGGGAACGTAATCCCCCGGCAGTCGGCGGCTGTGAACGTCATGTTCGGCACCGGCGACTGGGGAGATTGAATGTCAGCGTTGTTCACCTGGTGAGTCAAAGCTCTAAGGTGTCGCTTGTGCTCCCTCCGAGAGTATATTCCTCCCGAGATAACATTGATCGGAGGGAATTTCCCCTCCGGCTTTTTACTGTTTTTCCGGGGGAAGTCGAGGTCTTGCCGAGAGTCCTTTGCTGACTTCTCGGATTCTTTTTTCTCGCGGTGATCCGCGATGTATTTTTTCAAGTATCCCTTCCGGACCATGTCCTCTATCTGGTCCTTCAGTTGGATACACTCCTCAGTGTTGTGTCCCGAAGACTCGTGGAACTCGCACCACTGATTTTTATTTTTTCGCTGATACCACTCTGGGAGTGGTCTCGGCTTTCGGTAACTCTGCTCCTCCTTCGTCACGCTGTAAATTTTGGCGCGTGGAAGAGAGAGCGAAGTGTAGGACTCGTATCTGCCTGTGTATGAGGCAGATCTTTCCTTCTTTGGGTCGCTGGCCAAAGATTGCTCCGAGGCCTTTGACTTTCCCTTTGCCTTATGGCCTTGGCCTTCAGACAAGGGTATTTGCCTTTGTTTCCCTCCCCCAAATTGAGGTTGGGTTTTCGCTTTGTTCCATTCTTCGGCTCGGATGAACTTGTCCGAGGCATTCAGAGCTTCCTCCAAGGTCTGCGGGGTATGCATGACCATGAAGTCTAGGAACTTTCCGGGCTGAAGGCCATTCTGCATTGCAAAAACGGCTAGCCCCTGGTCCAGCTGAGAGACGCTGGATGACTCGTTACTGAAACGGGTCAGATAGTCTCGGAGGCTTTCGGTTTCCCCCTGTTGTAGACTCATGAGCTCTGCAGTAGTCTTCTCTCGGCGGTTTGCCGTGGAAAACTTGCTCCTGAACTTGGAGGACAGATCATCCCACCCTGTTATGGAGCCTTGCTTTACTCCCTTGGAGATCCACGCTTGCGCGACCCCCTTGAGAGTGGTTGGGAAATATTTGCACCAAGTCGCCTCAGATCTGGGGCAAAGATGCATATGAGTCTCATACGAGGCCACGTGATCCTTCGGATCCGAGGTCCCGTCATATGTGATGTGCGACGGTATTTTAACCGTGGGTACGCGCTCTTCCAGTATCCATTGCTCGAATGGTGAACTGGCGGGTAGCATAACGGCCTTGCCCTTGTTCCTGGCCGAAGGGACCGCGCTCCGCCCTCTTAGAGAGGTAGGAGTGGTTTTCGTCCCTGGCTGGGAAGTCTGGGCCTCGGCTGCAGGGAACGAGAGGCGACTACGCACGCTCGGTTCCTTGCCGCCGAGTCGGTCAAGGACGCTTCGGCGAACAGTCTCAGGTTCTCGGTGAGTAGATTCTGGCCGAGAAGCTGAGCTGCTGCTCTTATGCGCTTCTGGTCTTGAGGATGAGGATCCTTTTAAAAATTGAGGGTTCTTTTTCCTCTCTTTTTCATTTTTCCAGGAATACTCTTCCCACTCTTCCAGTTCCCGGAAGGAAGGAAGCTTCCCACCATCATGATCTAACTTCCTCCGCTGATGTCGGGTATGCGGAGGAGTTCGATCACGAGGTGGTGGCATATTTTGTGCCCTCATCGCCTCCATGAGCACTGCCAGCGCTCTTGCCACCTCTTCCGAGCTGGGCCCCGTCAAAGGGGTCCTCGGCCAAGTATGGGCATGAGGGCGCGCAGCCGATGGTTGGCTTTGGGGCACTGAATGTGTCCTATGATCGGACTCACCCCTGCTAGACCGAGAGTGACTCGGCCTATAATGAGAGTCATGAATTACGGGAGAAAGGGAATCCTCCTTGTATGATCCTCCCCCCGAGCTGGCACCCTTGGGAGAGTTCCGGTCCGGCGAGGGTGATGGTGTAGGGGTTTTAGGCTTTTCGCCCGCTCCTTGACGGAGGCTTTTGCTCTTGCGGTTCTTAGCCATTGCTACTAAGATAATTGCAAGATGATGTTGGTTAGAAATTTGGCTTAAAGATTTTTGAAAGTCTTCCCCACAGACGGCGCCAAATTGTTTCGGGTGAAAACAATGGGACCTTGCCGAAGGTCCGCTGAAACGGAGAAGACTGGATTCGGTCCAAGTTATATTGGGCCGAAGGTTTCCTGCACAGTAAACACACGTAAACTAGCCTCGGGGGTGTTGCCGAGGAAGGCCCCTCCAAGCTAAAGTCAGTACAATGTGTAGAAAGAGAACACTATGCAAGAGAATTAGTTGCTTGAGGCTTTGCTTGAATATATGAGAATATATGAATCTATGTGAATGTGTGAATCTATGAATCAATGAATGAATATGATATTGATGGCTTTTATACCTCTTCATACATGGAGAAGTTGGGCCTTAGCCCAATTGGCTTGCTTTGAGGGCTGACCTTTAACTTTAGCACAATTGGAGAGTTGAACCTTGACCTTGGGCTTTTAATTGGATCATTTAATGCCTAGGCCCAATTGGACTAAATTGGACCCAAACAGAAAGTATTAAGCATTATATGAATATGAACAACACCAATCCAACGCTTAATTTTGTCCGGAATTCCGATATCTACCAAATTTCACTATCATTCCAGACAAAATGAAAATTCAGAATATAAACAAAATCAACTATTGCAATCACAATTTTGTCTGATAAAAACAAAATCCAGCTCAATCAACAAAAGCGTAACATGTAATTAGCTTCAATTCATCAAATTCCGCTCACATATAAACACTAAAATCAACCAAAAATTTAAAATATACCTGGATTGGAATTTTGATGAAAAAGAGGCCAAATCTTCCTTTAATAGAAGAAACAGTATCAAATGGAACTTTACCAGCAGCAACATCTTCAATCAAATAAAACAAATCATGAAAAACCTCAAATCCATCAACCAAAAGCGTGGCATCAACATACGACGATCCTCTTGCTTTAATCCTCCCACCATGAGAATTCACAAACCCTAATTCCCTCCCACGATACGAAATCGACACATTCAAAGCGTCGTAATTGACAGAGAAGAAATCGGGGTTGCGAACTTTGAGGGTAAGAGAGAGAGAAAGGTCGAGAGAGAGGTGGTGATCGGAGTTGACTCGGATGTGGTTGAGTTTGAGACGGACGAGTCGGAGTTCGGGGTCGGAAGGGAAGAGGAGGAATACGGCGAGGATGAGGAGGAGGAGGAGAGAGATAGAGAGGAAGTTGCGCCGGAGGTGGCGGAGGAAACGGTGGCGCGTGGGATAGTAGATGGGTAAAACGACGTAGTTTTGGACGGTAGTTGGTTGGGAATTTGGGTTGGATGGTAGAGAAGAGTAGAGGATGGGTTCGGGTTTGGAGGTCATGGTTTGTTTATTGGTGGGTGGGGTTTGTTGTTTCGTATTTTAACTGCTGGTGTTTACTGCCGCGCACGGCCGTGTTGATTATTATTTTGGGTGTGAACGACCGTGTTCATTTGCTTCAATACCACGTCGGATTTTAACCCAAACTAAGGGCCAACCAAATAAGTGTCATTTTGGCCCATATGTTATATGTACCTCTTTATTAGTCCAACTTAATCACAATCCAATTATCCTTGAATATTGAACCCAGCCCAACTATCCATATTTTCAAGGGATACCTTATTTTTTTAACACAAATTTTTATATGTGGCTGGTCAAATCATGTGGCCGGGGTTACTTGTTCAAATGCTAATTGATCGGTCATGAGTTATCAGTTATCCTGTCAGGGGTTACTCGACCAGTCATGAGTTAATCTCACACAGAAAATGCACTAACCGACTGAATAACCCCAAAATAAGTAACCTTTGAGTGAGTAACCCATGAATAAGTAAACCCGGCGAAAACGCATTAACTGACCGAGTAAATTAAACCTAGAATAAGTAATCCTTGACTGACTGAGTAACCACATAATAAGTAACCTCGACGAAAACGTGTTAACCAACCGAGTAACCCTAGAATAAGTAACACGTACTTATTGAGTTACCTCAGAATAAGTTACCTCGACGAAATTGCGATAGCTGACTGAGTGACTCTAGTATAAGTAACACTTGGCTGATTGAGTAACCCCTAAATAAATAACCCCTGAAAAAGTAACCCCACCCACACGGTGTGACCAGTCACACAGAAAACATCATTTTTTAAACTTTTTTTTTTCTAATTACTCGTCCTTTCTTTTCAAGTCCTTATTGGCGATCTTCACCACCTTTAGCAGTCTCGCAACTTTGTTAAATTTTGCTCTCAAGAGTCCATGACTGTTATCATGTGGTTTATTATTTTCTTAAAGAAAAATTAAATTAATAATTATTAGCTTGTATTTTGTATAGCTGATTAGTGATCACACTGTATAACTGTTTATAAAAAAAAAATGAATTAATCTTATAACATTTACAAAGTAATCCTATTATACCCGTAAATAACAAAATAACCTTTATAAGACTAACATCATAACCCCTATATACTATGTAACCCCATATTCCTAACAAAATATCTTCTATAAAACTAACCCAATGGTCCATGGTGAATGGCCACACATATAAAAGTTAGTGATCAAATAATTGAATCTCAAAATTAAGTATTGTAAGTATTCCATACTATGTATATTCTATCAATCGGATAGGAATAGTGATGATAATATTCCATATAATCAATGACCTCAGTAGATCAACTAATCTACAAACTACAAATTCCAATCCAAATAATACTGGTATAATAATAATAGAGCTAAATTTGGAGCTCACAGCTCTTGCTTACACGCAAGTGCCTAGTTACTTCGGTTTTGTATGCATGTTTGATGTTTATGTTTCCTAGAAAACAATTAATAAAGTCAACTTGGATTAGATGCCTCTGAAGTATTAACTAGCAGTACTAATATGTATTCTATAATAGATTTTTGATCCACTATTCAAGTATTTATCTTAAACAAAAACGTACACTTCAAATTGTGACACTTTCGTTTTCAATAGTATGTAATATACACCCTTTCTAACTAACATGGCTTCCTTGCTCAATAATTACCATTTCTGTACTTCTTTGTATCTTCTTCTCATATACTTTATCACCACCACCATAACAACCACCTCGGCCTCGGCCTCCGCCTCATTCCGCCCCAAAGCTCTACTCCTAAGAGTCTCAAAAGACAACTCCACTAACCAATACACCACCAAACTCATCCAAAGAACCCCCTCAATATCACTAACTTTAACACTAGACCTCGGCACTCAATTCTTATGGCTCAACTGTGGCAAACGCTACGTGTCCTCCACGTACCGCCCCGTCTACTGCGGCTCCCCTCAATGCACCCTAGCCAACACCAAAACCAAAACATGTAGAACATGTCCTGCTGCCCCTAAGCCAGGGTGCAACAAAAACACGTGTAGAACCCTCTCAATCCACAACCCCATCACAAACAAATCACCAACCTTGGGCAGTGAGCTCGCTACCGATGTTATCCGTGTCAACTCCACTAACGGGGCAACACCCGGGCAGCTCATGACCATCCCAAATTTCCTCTTTGTTTGCGCGCCCAAGTCCTTGTTACATGGCCTCGCAAAAGGAGTGTCCGGTGTTGCTGGTTTTGGGAGGACTAGTAAAGTTTCACTCCCTACACAATTCTCTTCATCTTTCCATTTTCCTAACATATTCGCGCTTTGTTTACCTCCAAATCCGTTGTATTACGGAGATGGTGTTATTTTTCTTGGGGACGGACCTTACATTTTCGCCCCAGGAGGTACCGGTACTACGGTAGACCTGAGAAGCAAGCTTTCCTACACTCCTCTAATTGTCAACCCTTTTCGAACCTCTGAATACTTCATAGGAGTTAAAGGGATCAAGATTAGCGGAAAAGACGTACCAATAAACAAGTCATTACTTTCTATAGATAGCAAAGGATATGGTGGTACGACTATAAGTCTGTTACACCCTTACACTATAATGGAAACATCTATATTTAAGGCGGTCACTACTGCCTTCGATAATCAACTAAGGGACGGAAGTTTTCCTACTAAAAGAGTTGCTCCGGTAGCACCATTCGAGGTGTGCTACGAAGCTGGCTCGATCCCCTCCACGAGGATCGGGCCAGTGGTGCCACACATTGATCTAGTGTTACAAAGCGAGGACGTGTTATGGACGTTAGCCGCGCCAAACTTGGTGGTTCGGACGAATATGAATAAGGCGGATTGTCTTGGTATTGTGGATGGTGGAAAGAAGCCAAAGTCATCGATTATTATAGGAGGGTTTCAAATTGAGGATAATTTACTGCAATTTGATCTAGTTAAGTCTAGGCTTGGGTTTAGTTCTGCTTTGATTTACGATCGAATAGGGTGCTCTTACTTTAACGTTCCTTGAATTAGCTTCTAAATGAATGTGCTAATTAATAAAGTCAAAATGCATGTAATGTTACTTCATGTTCACGTACTAGTCACATGATGTGTCAGAAAGTTTGATTATTCTATGCAAGATCGAGTACCACAAAAGATAGGATCGAATTCCACATAACTCTTAGGGCCTGTTCAAATTTACTAAACTGAATTAAACTGAATTGTTGATGAAAGAAGTAAATTAGAAATTAAACTGAACTACACTGACTTGAGCTGAACTGAAATTAAGCTTAAGAGAACACATGGCCTTAATTAAGGGGCTGAAAGAGGTAGATTTGTTGTGCATACTTTGGCATTTTAGCATACACACCATAATAGGTTAAACTCGGTCACTTATTCTTTGGCTTATGTTTCGGAATCAGCAAATGCATTCAATGCATTGTACACAATCAATCTAACAAATAATTTGAATTTCTTAGACCTAATTGATACAGAGTATCAAACATAGTTGAATCTGATCTAAACATATAATATTATTATTAAAATTAATTTGTTTTAGCCTAATAGCCTTTACCTAAGAGAGAAAATATTGTCATTTATAATTTATTTATTTATTATTTCTATGACTAAGAAGATCGAGAATACTAAAACTGGCCATACAATATAGTTATATACGGAGTAGACAAAGTAAGAAATTTTTAAACAAACTTTACAAGTACATATGTCCATTATATAAGTTGAATGATCTCTCTCTATTTAGCATTTATGATCTGATTATGAGTCATTAGGAAAACTATAGGTGCTTCTAGGACATACGTTTTTGTATTTTGTTGGCAAGTGAAAAATTTTACTCTGCCCCACTTCATCAAGCTAAGGTCTAAAACCAATCCACCTCGTTTTCTTAGCTTGTTCTTCCCTTTCTTATACAAATACTACCTCCGTTACAGGTTATGTGCAACGATTAGACATTTTCCCTCTCTATTTTATGTCAAATCGTTGCACATAACCTGTAACGAAGGTAGTACAAGTTTTTACACAAACTTTGTTCATGATTTATGTACGTACACCAAGAACGGAGGGTGAATAGTTTGGGTTAAAATGTAATTATTTAGTTTTTATTGAGTGACGTTATAATGTAATTATTGTCAAAGATATGCCTTCACATTTGAAATTATAGCCCACACATTTGAAATCGGATCTAGAAAGTAAGACATATACAGTATTAAATTATTAAAAATTACTCCGTAGCAGTTTCTATAAATAATACTCCATATAATTTTGGTTATAGGGAAGGAATAATAATTGATTAATTGCTTGAAATATAAACAATGTCCTTGAATTCAATGATCCACAATGTCCAAAGTCCAAACAACAGAAACTAATCTCAAGTGTCGGTGCTTCTCATCAGTCATCACATTGCTTGTTTGCAAGTGCCAACTTACTTCCATTTTTACAAGTTTCTGTTTCCTAGAAAGATAATATAATGAGCTGGAGGTCCCTCTTATATAGTTACGTAAATATCTTTAATCATGCCTCTAAAATTGCAATTATAAATTAAAAAATCACAGCATAGCACCAATGAATTGACTTTCAACCACCATCAAACCAATAATCCATCTTATCTTTAATCTCCTTTAAAAGTCAGACTTTGCCTTTTTAAGACTCATACTAAATCTTATATCCATCCACCTTCTCTAGCTAACATGGCTTCTTTCTTTAATCACTATCTCATTCCTTTGTATCTCCTCTTCACATACTTCACCACCACCACCATCTCCGCGGCTTCGGCCATCGTCTCGCCTCGCCCCAAATCTCTACTCCTGACCATCTCAAAGGACACCTCCACCTCCCAATACACAACCAAAATCCTCCAAAGAACTCCCCCAGTATTTGTCCCTTTAACACTAGACCTCGGTACACAATACCTATGGCTCAACTGCGGTCGACGCTATGTATCCTCAACATATAAACCCGTCCCATGCGGTTCCCCACTTTGTGCTCTTGCAAATGCCAAGATATGTAGGTCATGTCCTTCAGGCCCTAAGCCGGGGTGTAACAACAACACATGTAGAGCCATCATCAGCAACCCCATCACTAACACATCCACGAAAAAAGGAAGCGAGCTCGCAACCGATGTAATAAAACTCAACTCCTCTAATGGTGCCACTACTGGCGACCTCGTTAGCATCCCCAACTTCCTCTTTGTTTGCGCGCCCACCTCCTTGTTAGGTGGCCTCGCGAAAGGGGTGTCCGGAGTTGCTGGCTTCGGTAGGACTAAAGTTTCATTCCCTACACAAGCGTCCTCAGCTTTCCGCTTGGCTCAAACATTTGCTTTGTGTTTGCCTCCATTTTCGGAAAATGGTTTCGCTTTCCTTGGTGATGGACCTTACAACATCACCCCAGGAGGCACCGGTCTTAACGTAGACCTAAGAAGCATGCTTACTTACACTCCTCTGGTCACTAACCCGGTTCGTACATCCGAGTACTTCATAGGCGTACAAGGTATTAGAGTCGGAGGAGAAGACGTATCGATCAACAAGTCCTTACTTTCTATAGATAGCAAGGGATATGGTGGAACAACCATAAGTTTGATACAACCTTACACTAGTATGGAATCTTCTATATACAAAGCTGTCACTACTGCTTTCGACAGACAAATACTAAACACTTCCTTCCCGACTAAGAGAGTTGCACCGGTTGCACCATTCAAGTATTGCTACGATACTCTCCCGTCCACAAGGGTCGGACCCTCGGTGTCGAACATCGACTTGGTGCTGCAGGGCAAGAACGCAGTATGGACCATAGCCCCGTTGAACTCTTTGGTGAGTACCAATGTTGGATATTGTATTGCTTTTGTGGATGGTGGAAAAAACCCAAAGTCATCAATTGTTATAGGAGGGTATCAGATTGAGGATAATTTGGTTCAATTTGATCGGGCTAAGAACAGGATTGGAATTAGTTCTTCTCTCGTTTATGATCGGATTAGATGTTCTTTCTTTAACTTCACTACTACAGTGTAATAATGATTAACTTACTGCTGTGGTTAGTGAACGATTATTAGATATAATCGGAAGATGTGTAAAATAAACAGGGATCGAAGAAATGATCCTCTTTTTCTCTCTTTCGCTCTTTTCTCTCTTTAAAACAAGCATCAACAACGTTGTAATTAATAGAGAACGAAAATGAGTATTGTTTATGATATTCCAAATCCATGCATTGCAGTCGATCTAGCAGAGGTGCATACTGAGATACTATGGTGATGCAATCAAGTCATATACAGAGCATGTAGATTTCTCATTGTAATGATCGAGTGAAATGTTATAAAGAATAATAATGACTTCGAAAAAATGTACATAACCCCTATAGAATAGTTTTAATATAATTTAACGTACATAAAATGCAGCCCTAATATGATTTGCAGATCCTGCAAAACTCACATACACTAACCTTCTTAAAAGTACACCTCCAGACTATTGAGCAAGAAGCATCTCCATTACTGATTGAATAATTGCAGCTTCTTGTATAGTGTATACCCACCTAAGTCACTGAAAATGTAATAAAATGTTAATGGAGGAATATTTCTTGTATGTATGCAAAATTGAGAGCATTTAACAAACAACGCAACAGAGAAAACAATTATATGTGGCTCAAATGTCTCTCTATTTTGTAGTTCTAAACTACTGAAAGATGTTCATAAACTCGGAAAGAATCACAGCTTAGTGATCAGATGGGAAATGACTGAAAGAGCTATTTGCATCCAAATTCCTAGAGAAACTTTGGTAAATTTCAAACTATTGAAATATGTTCATCAGCAATTACTACTGGATCTCAATGATTTCTACTACTTGTATATGTTGGTGTACTCTATTATTCTGTACATTTACAAAGGTAGACCATCCCTTAGTATGCAGCTAACAGAATCACAAATTTTTAATTCAAAAGAGCCAGCTAAGTTACTTAAAATGAACATAATAACCAGTGTATATTTCTATAATATCGTATACCAGCAAATCAGCATATCCTTAACAAGTTAGAAGAAGAAAGAGTACAATATTATTTACAAATTAATCATGTAACAGGTCCTAACCTTTCAATTCAGTAAGCTAAGACTTCTTAAGTTATTATATCCACTGTAAAGAGGCTCTGGATCTTCCCAGTTTTGAAGAATATAAATTCAACCATATCATGCTATAAACTGATGGGAAAACTCGCTAGTTAATGATTCCAATCTCAACAAGTTGCCTTGATGAGTTGATGATAAGCATATATTTTGAAGAGGTCCACGAGTTTAAGGTTCCTCCACCACATTAGGATTAGCAAAAGTCACTGCTTAGATAGATGACCTACTCATGGCCCTCAATTGATAGCTTCAAGTAATGGTATCTACTGCATAAGTGCTGTCTGTGGATTAACACACTTGTACGTCTTACAAATTTAGGGATGAATCTTATTCAAAGAGCTACCTATCTTGCTATGCTTGAAAATTTAAATAACGAAATAGCTAATAAACACATGTATAAAACTGATAGAAGTAGAAACAGGAACAATAGCACTAATCAATGACAATCCATGAAGGTGCGCCAGGCATGACAATTTGAGGGAGAAAATCATCAGTACAACCTAGCATTACTCATGCAACTGTAACCAAATCCAATACTCAAAACCTAAACCCCAATGATCCAGAACTCGAAGATAAACCTAAAATAGAAAACAGCAGCAGTTGTATATACTTGGACCAACATCTTTATTTTGCATTTCTTACAATAAGCTTAGGCAGCAAAAATTGCATCTTTTACAATTAACGCAGCAACACCAGTTTATCAGGGATCCAGAACATTAAAACTTCACTTCCCCACAGCCCACAGCATAAGCTTAAAACCGTATACGAACTACGAAGTACATAGTATAAATTATGCATCAAACAGGGCCAAGTACACAAAAACAATGGATACAGATGATATAGTTGCAAATTGTCACTGATCTTATCCTAGAATCACCAGCCAAATACATTCTATGAGTAGCAATGCTAGAATATAAGTAGCATATCACTTTAATCAAAGTATTCAATTTACTCACCACAACTTCAAAGACCCCTTAACTCATAAACATAATTGAGAAATACTGATTCCTAATTCTAGTTACTTACTTCGTATTATTTTCAACAACA